ACACACAAACACTCTTTGTACACAGAATGATTTGCAGACATGAGCGTAACCCCTCCCTCTCCTCAAAAAGCAAGCTTTTAAACAAAGAAGTACAATTTCACATTTCTAAATAATGTCTGTTGTGTTCTGAACTTTCCAAAGTTGACAAACCACTTGATACCCTTCCCCTTAAACATACACACAATTCTTTGCTCAAGTTGGTGTTTAATTGTCCTCAAGCAGTCAACTCATAGAGACCCCTCAAAAACAGTCAAAGGGATTGTGATGCACTCGGCTCACCCTAGATGTATCCTGTCTTCAAGCATACTTATTCAGCAGAAACATTTCTCACATTATGAATAGAGGCTTCTACGCCACCTCATGTACAGTGATAGTCTAAGGCTCTGTATATTAGCTTAAAGCTAATTTTTATCTGCAGTCCCTTACAATACAATGCCAGACATACAGTACTAGTGATGCAAAACAAAATAATACACATGTAATTGTAGTGATGAATCTCAAAACAATTCACCAATCTTAGTACCTTCCTTTCAGCCTTTTTCAGCGCATAATTACATTTACCATTTAATGATAATGTTGGCTGTCTACTATTTGTTATGCCCTTAGCTCTTTCTAGAGACTAAACTATAGTTTCTCAATGCATCGCCTTCCATCTGATGTATGTAATACACATATGGGCTTACTGGCCAGTGTGGAAGTGATTTGGACTGTGATATAAAGAAAATCCTGCATGAGGTGTACAGTATACCTTACTGAATCAAAGTTATTCTGTTTCACATGATAGCAGGTTACCGACAAATATCATCCTTCCACATTTGATGCGGTCTGTCCCACTTTGATAGCTTCAGTGATAAAGCGTCCCAAAACCACAGGAGAGCTTTGATCAAAGACTCAGTTCAGCCTTTTGATAAACCAAATCCTGTGGCAGTGATGTGTGTAAAACCACTCGCTCTATGTCTCTGTCACTCTTAGGTGAGCACCTGCGTGTCTGTCATCAGGGATACACCTGCTGCACGTCCGAGATGGAGGATAAACTCAACCAGCAGAGCAAACTGGAGTTCGAGAACTCGGTTGAGGAGAGCAGCCACAATATGAGGACGACATTTGTTTCAAGGCACAAAAAGTTTGATGGTAAGTTACAGTAGCTTGGTGTGTTTCATCTGTTTAACATGCAGTGATTGTGATATACAGTATAAACTGGCATTCCAGACACCACCACCACCAAGTGAATGTGGTCTATACAAAAACTGACAAACTTGTTAACACAGACTACTGATGACATGATTAATAATTACTATGACTCTTTTTAATAAAATAGGGGCTGCTTGGTTTTAAGATCAAGCTGTTCTGGAGGTTTTAGTTCTCTTTATTCACTTTAAGATCTACCTAGCTGTCACTTCTGCTCTTCTGGACTCAAAAACATAAGCTACCAGTAGCTCACTCCTTGTTCCTGAGTAGCTTGCCTAAAGGTTCAAAGGATATACAGTAGCAGGACTGTGTAGGCTACAAACCATGGATGTATGGAACAAACATTAACACATTCACTCGGTAAACCTGCTCCTATGGCAATCCAGTAAAATACAGAGATGTCTGGTTATTTATCAGCTGTCATTCAAATGGGTTGCTGATATCAAGTTTGTCAGTTACAACATGCTGCATAACTGGCAGTTTTGGATGGTGTTGCATTACATGCTAAGTCTTCACTTAAAAGAACTGGAAGGGCTACTGCTGTGGCCTGCAACATGAGCCCAGTTTTTTAAGCCTATATTTGTTTACATTTCAGCAAATTGCATAAGATGAACTGGCTGTTAGCAACTGGATTGTGTTGATAAGCAGCCCAAATTGTAATAACCAGTTTTCCATTACTTTTACTCCTGAATGCACGTGTCACACGTATGCAAACTATAAACTAAGGTTTTTATTCGTGAAGGGTACCTCCCTTCACGAATGTTGTGAGCATTGTGACGTGCTGACTGATGTTGTTTTTAAAATGTTTTGGGACAAAATGCACTGGATATTTTTGAGAACTGCTTGTGTAAAACAATTAACTTATGCAGCTGGTTTTGCTTCGGAGATCGGTTGGAGCGTTTTCATAGAGTATATGAATAAATGTAACCTGTAATATAAGACCCACTTTCATTTTGTCAAGGTAGCTCTCAGTATGTGCTACAGTATGTCACTTACACTGTCAGTCAGTGTCTAGTTTATGGCTGTCACCTCAGAATGAATTTGTTGCCTAATTTAAAATTCAGTTTTACAGGTTCATATCGACTTCAGTGAATCGCATCAAAGGGTCTGGTTTTGATCAGCAAAACATTTTCCTTGGCAGTAAATACTAAATTAGTTGTACAAGTCGTTTAAAAAAGGATCAGTGAATTGCAGTCATGACCCTGTGTACACAAAATGAAAAGTGTGAGCCTTTTTGCTCAGACTTCATGAGTCTGTAAAAGTATAATCTGTGTGCAGGTGGGAGAGGGAAAAACGGGCTCTTCAATATGAAAGAAGACGCATAAAGGATCTTGAATCGGCATTTTTTGTGGTCATTGGTACACTACGTGTTTGTAATGCATTCTTCTTTTTTTATGTGACATCAAATGTGATACAAATTCACACAAACTCAAAACAGTGTAGAACCTACCAGCATCAGACAGGCTATAGCTAGAATAAGATGTATGTTTGAACAGGCCAAAAACCATCAAGTATAGTTTTTTTTTTCTCTTTTCGAATTTGTCACTGCTCAGTGTTGAATGATCCATTTGTCAGGTTGACATTCAACTGAGGACAATACCTGCATGGTCCTTGAACTGTAATAGAGTAGGAATTCAGCTGTTATTGTTTTTGTTGACAGGATTAATCTAGGTTTTAAACATAGCCAGCTTTCAGTGTTTGAATGAAAACTATATCCTGTGCCAGTAACTGCATTAAAAGATTGTGAAAATGACAAATTTGAGTCACACAGGGTATTTATTTATACTATTTTTATGACAGATTTATGCAGTAAACTTTGCTCCCTTAGTACACTACCAGTCAGAGGTTTGAACACACTTTCCCATTCAATTCTATGGTGTCTAAACTTTTGAATGGTAGCGCAGACGGATGAATATAGCGCTCACTGTTGCAGATGCAAGGTCACTAAAAATGCAATCCTGTTCTCTGGGTGAATCAGTGCAGCTTAAATAATGTTGATTTTGATATTTTCTTGACTGATCTGCACTACATCAGTCTACTTGTGTTGCAGTGCTGCTTTTTGACGGCATATGAGTTAAAATTACAGTATGTGAAAAAGCAGTTGAGGGCAGTGGTGAAACAGACACTGCATTCAGACACAGAGTCCAGAGGCAGGTCATGGCTGTCGCTATATAACATTAATTCTGTGAGAAACTTGATAAGAGGCCAAGTCTGTTGAAGAGTTCTTTGCAGCCAGTGTCTCTGCTAGAGGCCGTTTGTGAAAAGGAAAAGTTCCACCCTGTAACCCCGCTGTACATCTGCGGGTGTTCCCTTAACTCCAACAGAGTGGTACATTTTCTCTCCAGCTGGTCACCTCACAGCACTTTCACAGTTAAACTTTCATTCATGTGATATCATTCATTTAAGCTTGTAAAATTTGTTTTTCAGGTTTATTGTCATTTCCATAAACACACAGTCGCCCATCACGAGTCTTACTGAACAGCAATTACTCCCAGCCGGCTCAGTGGGAAGTTAACCCGTCCAGCTCGATGCCTGTGTAGCCGAGTTTCGCTGAAAACAAAGATGTGGCAGTTTTTAATTTTATGCTCTGTAGTCTGTCGTATTCAGTCTACCAATCTCTAGAAGATCCTGGCAGCTGTAGCAGAGTTTTGATACCTAAAAGGTTTTCATGTGTTTTACAATTGAAGACAAGTCATACAACAAACACTTAGAAATATTTGAACTACGAAAGGCTGCTGCATCTGCTTGTGCCACTATGGCGACCAAAGAAATTTAATATTTGACCCAGAGCCTTCAGTATTTGAGTCAAGTAGCTTATGAGAAGTAATGTGTGTCAGATTAAGGAGCCTACAGCCTTCTTTTCAGATTGTATACACTGTATTTAGTCAACATTTAGGTTATCGCAAATATTGGATTAGACACAATAGCAGCAGATATTCTGAATTAAAGGACTCAGATCAGGAACAGGGCCAAAAAAAACTGAAAGTTACTGCAATAAACCCTCTGTATGAATGGTAAGAGTAATTATATACTGTTGTATGACCTAGTATGTTTTTCTTTTAATTGTTGTGCTTTCCTATTGTTCACATCTCAACCTCTAAGAAAAGTCATTAAGCAGTCCTAGTTGAGCCCTTATTTTTCCACACTGAAAAAAGGGTGGTGGTTCGATTCCTGGCTTCTTTAAACCACATGTCACAAGACATTGAACCCTAAGTTACTCCTGCTGCTATCACCCATTTGTGTGTGTGTGTAGGTGTGCGCGCTTAGGAGTGTGAATGGGCAAATAGTGTGAAAGTGCTTTTGAGTGTTCTGCAATGCATGGAAAAGCAAGTATAAGTACAAATACAAGACCATTTAAAACACTGCAAGATTTAGTCTGTTTAAAGCAAAGGAGATCCAAGTTTCTTTAAAGGTTATGCTTTGCTTTGGTTTGGGTGCTCATTCCAACTCCTATTCTTCAAGTTATAAAGGTCATCTTTTTGCATTGGTCTCTTCCTCACTGGAGCTAAATTGGAATGAACCCAGAAAAAGCTGTACTGTACTGCGCTCTGCTTTTTGGTATCATGCACAACATGTACAGTTTGCATCAAAAAATGAATATTTAAAATGGAATTACATACCGCTTAAATGTGTAATGCACAGCTTTGATCGGAGATACTGGAGCATTTTTTGAAAATGTATAGAATTTTGTGAACTTTAGAGCCTGGTACTGATTCTGTGAAATAATAATAAAGATGTCACTTTGAGATGTGCTAGAAAGACAGTTTTAAGGCTTTTCTGAGAAATGGATGTAATACAGAGAAGCAGAAAAAAAAAAAATCATTACAACATATAAACGCTCCAGCTCTTCTCCTATAACACTTTTAACTGGTAGCCATAGATATTTCAAGTGTTACCAGAAAAAAATACTTTTAAATTCCGGAGTGTATTTTGGCTTTAATAGCACCATTTCACAGATGGCGCCTGTAGAACAATGTGCATACACTTGCATAGTAACACTGGTGACATAAATCACTAATGCAGTTCCATTTTGTAGAGGCCCATATTGCCAGGACACTTGACATCGCAGTCCTTTTCCTTGCATTAAGCTCCCTCCACCTTGTGGGGTTTGAATCATCCCTCATCAATTTTACATGGCCTCATTTCTGTCCCCAGTTATTTATAGGGTCCTATTATGAAAACCTTAACTTACTTTTTGATTACTGACTGCTTTCCCTGAAGGCCTGTGGGTTTTGATGCATTATTGAGCAATCCTGAAGTCATAAATGACTGGAATTAAGGTTTGAGTATTCTGAATGCCCAATCATCCAGCTGAGGAATGTTTTCCCCCCATTTCTCACCATGTTTTATTCTCCCAGAGAGACTTGGAGTCTGGTAATATTCCAGTCCAACAGATGCACAGAGTGGAGAAATAAACTCACAACCAACTTTGTAGTGCATAGGTTCTGCATTTCTTTGGCTCAATGTTCACTACATTTCTTTAAGTTTCTGAAAGCCTTATGGGTCTCTGGTACCCTAGTTGGTGCCCTAAGGTGTCCAAAATTAAGAACAAGAAATCAAATGCATATTTATATATGTACGTGAAAGCTAGAGAGAAAGAGGCAGTTTGATATGTGAAATAGGCAATAGGGGAAGAGCTGCATCAAATCGGTTAAAGATTATAAAAGTACCATGACACAGCATGCAAGTGACTTCTTCTTCATCTCTTTGAGTTCTGATCTTGTACAGTATAAAAATGTCACAGTTCAATAAAATCTCATGGTAGAGCCTTGAGTTAATAAAGTTTCATCTTAAGTTCCATTCAGAAATCAGTTGTGAATGATCTGAAACGATAACCCAACGCTGACATAAAACTTGCAACTTAAATTTCCCCTTAAATAGCTTTAAGATAAAAAAAAAACAAAAACATTTCCCCACTTCATGACAGTTTCAGTATATCATTA